TCACTAACGTGGTAATAGAATAGACGTTCTGCAGGATGACACCCCAGAATTCAAGAAAGGATGAGTAATTAGATCATCATGAGTAAAAGCAAGAGAAGTGATACTGCTCAAGTATTTTGTAATTTTCACAAAATGGAGGTGGCATAAGTAAGGTTAATGATATACTTCTCATACAGTGATCTTCAGTGGTTAACCTCTAATTATGTCTTCATTCATAGGAGTATAATCAGAACTAGAATGCAGTAAAGTGGAAAAAGCAACTACCTGCTTCTGTTATGCGTGAAGATTGTTTGGAGAGTTACAACATTAGATATAATAGGAATTGTATTAAATCTCTCGACAGATGCAAGAAATAAAGGGAAGGTGTTCTGGGAGACTGACATTCTGCAAATGCACGGTGATTTACACTGTGATACCGAATTTACATAGGGAAAGTATTAGCTTTTCTCCCAGTACTCAGAGGTGATTGGGATAATACAAAGGATTAGTACTAGTAATCCTCCCAGGAAACACTTGTGTAAGGCAAACACCACTTTATACACTGACAATGAGAGGTAAGTGCCACACAGCTAGTAGACTCAGACTCACGTCGGATGACCAGCAAATGTCTAAAAACAAAATTTAAATAGGAAAACAACTATAAGCAGAGTACTAGGAGGTTACAAAGTAAGAATAAAGTGAGGTATCACAGTAGCTGATGATACAAATTGGGATGTCCTTGTAACATAATCCCATTTCAGGAATTGACCTATCAATGGAATGCAGTTTAGTATCTCATCTCTGAGATTAAGGAGGTCAGTGTTCTATTTTTACTTCATTCCTTCTATGTATAGACACGTTGAAAACCATTCTGTTGTTAATTTCTTCCTCAGACTTAGATTTTGGACCTACCAAACAGGATGACATCAATCATAGCATATTTGTCTCCCTAACACTGCATCTTTGTTTAGATGGGGGGGTATTTTAAAGCCTTTTACATTAATAGACTATACTGTTGAGTGGGATATATATCATAATTTTTTTGGTCTGTGGATTCTAATTAGTTTCATTAAGTCCAACTAATTATAATTTATTTTATAATTGTTATGTTATTTTATCTGTCATTCCAGTTGAAAGTGACAGTATATAGTGCATGATACCTCTATAGATCTCACTTCTGATACCAGATATCAGGATAAATAAGAACTTGGGGAAACAAATAGGCTGATGGATGCTTACTCGGGGAGAAATCACTTACACCAGAAACAGATGACCACCAGCGGGTTCTCACCCCAAGGATGCCTCCAGATGGTCTCTGTCTCCAACCAGGAAGCAAGATCGAGTGCTAGGAATGGGGACCCCAGACCTAGTTTCCCTTGGTCATGCCTGTACCTGTCCCGATGCCCCAATTGGCGTGGTCAGTGCAACATTTGTGGGCAGGGTGGATATTTCACTACAATCCCCCTTTTAGTCTAAAGAAAAGATTTAGGTTTGACACATAACTATATACGAAGACAGTAAAGAACAACTATGCTCTAAGAACAGGAAAATTAAGAACATACAAACTTAAGACCTACAGCTTTGCTCTGTTAGGCTACTTCATTGAATGAGTTCATGTAAAAGAGGTCACTTATTGAGAATAATTCATCAAGAGACCTCTGGAAGTGGAAAGTGAGTGGAAGTTCTTAGCCCTGAACTGAGTACCTTCTCTTGGACACTGTAAAAGCCAAAGATTTCTTGCAGTGTATGTTGTTTAAGAGGGAAATAAAGTTATGAGGTTTGGAAAGATGACCTACAGCAAAAAATAGGTGACCTTAAGGTAAAGAAGGATGGCTAATCAAGTTACATTCTAATATTCCTATTGACATCGAAGACCACACATTATGGTCAGTAAGAAAATGACTAAAAGGCCATATGAGTTGATAATGGTGATGCCTCCTTTTGATATATTTAGTTTTTCTAATGACTAATGTTAAATACTTTTAAAATGTACTGCATAGATATTTACCTATCACTTTGCTTACTTTTTAATTGGACTGTCCTATTATTAAGCGCTAAAAGTTCTTTATATTCTGGATGCAAGTTCATTATCTAACTCATGATTAGCAAGTATTTTTTACCCACATGTAGCTTTTCTTCCCTTCCTCCTTTCTGCATTCCTTCCTCTCTTTCTCCTCCACGCTCCCTCCACCCTTCCTACTTTTCTTGCTTCCTTTCTTCCCTTCCTTCCTTCTTTCTATTCTTTATTTTGTTCTGTCTTACTGTGTCCCAGGTAGCTTGTTCCAAACTACCTATCCACCTGTCTCAGCTTCCCAAGCACTTAGATTTCAGTGTGTAGCAATACTTCTCCTTTTCTTAATGTTTATGAAAATACTCTTCATTTTATAAAGCCAAATGTATCTTTTATTATGTCTCCTGCTTTTGGTATTTGGGGGTGAAGTTTCTTTCTTGCCTGGTCCCAGAGCCGTTTAGCCCCAAATAAACACACAGAGATTTGTAATAATTATAAACTGTTTGGCAGATGGCTCATTCTTCTTATTGGCTAGCTCTCTCTGTATTATTAACCCATTTCTGCTAGTCTAAGTATTTCCACATAACCTTATCTTACTGGAGAAGACCCTAACATGTTACTCCTTCAGCTGCTTCATAGTATCTCTCTGGCAGCTTCTCTCTGCCTGCTCTCCCAAGAATTCTCCTCCTCTGTAGCTGGCACATACTTTGTGCCAGGCTACTGGCCAATCCAGATAGATTCTATGTAAACAAAGGTCTTAAAATGTTTCCCACTTTAGCTTGCACTGATATAAATGATCTGTTCTTAAGAGTTTTGCTTTATGATATTAATACAATCATTTGAACAATATTTTTTCTAATTGAGTCATTTGACCCTTTTATTAAAATTCATTTGACTATCAAACACAAGGTTAATTTCTATGATTAAATCAGTTCATGACTCCAAATGGCTATCCTACTGAAACACCACATTATTCTGATACATTGCATTTCCATTTAGATTTTAGGACCATCTTGAGTCAATTTTTACAAAAATAATCCTTGAATCTTCTAATCTGTGACCATGAATTGCCTCTCTGCATGAATATGTTCTTTAGTTACTTTCAACAATACTTTGCACCTTTTGTTGCTTTGCCCCTTTTGTTGTACAAGGCTAAAGTTCTTTTTCTTAAATTGTGATCACAAATCTGGATCTGTTTCATTTACATAAGTGGATTTTCTTACCTTTTCCTTTCCTTAGTGTTTGCTGCTTATTTGCATAAATATGATTGAGTTTTATATATTGTTCTTGTATCCCATGACTTTATAAGATTTTTAGTAATTTTGCATTGTGTATACATTTGCATGTTGTTTAAGAATTTCTACACTGAAGATGATGTTACCTGTAAATAAAGATGTGTTTATTTATTCCTTCTCCACCACCCCTACCCCATAAAAGAGAAAAATAAATAGAAAAAAAATGACTGTAGGTCATTTGGACTAGTTCTTTATTATAGAATTAAAAGATATATGTGAGGATTATTTATGAAAATCCAAAAATCAATCAACATTCAAACAACTCTACTTGATAGTTTCTCATACAATCCCAGTACTGCAGTGTGGATTTCTTAACTCAAGCAGAATGTGTGCATTCAGATCTCTTTATTATGGCAGTTTATGTAGTAATTTAGGTATATAGCAAGCTCTTGACAAAAGAACTAACTGCTTGTGAATGAAAGTATGGATTGGCACAGTGGTTAGTGAGGCACTGATGGATGAAGAGATATTTCTTGGTGTTACAAGATGAGAGCAGTGAGACCCAATCTGGGATACAGCATTGAATACTAAGCACAGTTCTCCAGGACCAAGACCAAAGTACAATGGCACTTCATGTTCTGAGAGTCCTTGATGGCTACTCAGGAATATGCAACAACTGATCTTCAGGATATTCATTATGGGGAAATACATCAGCACCAAGAAGCAAGAAATAAATGCTGATAATTATCAGCAAATGCTAAGCAACATTTAGAGGTTAACATTTCTAAGAAGTTGTGCCTTTCTAGCACACCATTCGATTTTTTTTTTTTTTGCAGAAGCATCATCTACATCATCTATTTATACATAGAGCTGATGTGTGCCAAGAGCACAAGACAAGCAAAAGAACACCCCAGTTTTTTGAGTTTTTTGCACAGATGGTGCTAATATATACGCACAGGATTTTTCAGATGAGTTGGTTGCAAAAGTTCTATGTCATCCCATTGCTTTCCAATGTCCTCAAGAATATGACAACACCCAAAGGTAGTCAATAAGAGTATATAGCTTGGTAGCAATTGGCAGTGGTTTTAAATAGTCAGGCCCAGAGAGTCATAACTACCGCAGGCTGAAAAGTCAGTTCTTAGTGGAGATTTGTCTCTGTTCAGGTAGCAATAATATGTTGATGTTAAATAACTATGATAGTACTCCTTAAACAAATGACTTTAAATAACTTAGTTGGTTATTACCCTAAGTCATTAGACTTATCCATATATGTGTTCAAATCTAAAATAGGAACATTAGTGGAGACATGACTAAGCATGGGTTGGCAGACTTAAAGTATGTTAATTGTCCAAGAGGCTATTCATCAAAGAAAGGTGTCAATAATTAAGCAGTGTTCAATTCAAAGATTCATACAATCTGGTTTGCCAATAGACAAGAAGTTCAGCATGTTGGATAAGCAGGTATCTTTAGTTGTCAACAAAACATATAGCTGTGTGGAAAAGTGGCAGATATTCAGGTCCAGGAAGATTGGCTTGTTTCAGCACTAGTGTCTGATTAATATGTAGAACAGAATCCAGATTCTGTCTCTCAGTGACAAGAATATTGGTAGGATATGATGATGCCACTATGATTGCAAACAAAGAACCCAGACAAACTAAGAAATAAATCAGCAAAGAAGTGGAGAAAAGCTTTGGGATCAGTCCTAGGCACACAAGCTATAGGACTTGGGCCATCAAAGTCAACCAAGTTTTCATTTAATGGTAGAGATGTAAATCCGAATACATTGTCAGAATTATTTTTCTCTGTGTTACTCAGGCTGGAGAGACTTCTATCTGCAAATTTTCAGAATTCTTAATGGAAGTGGCCATAACTATAATGTTTCTATTCATTGTCTTCATCATTGTTGTTGGGTCAAGTTTGGGGACGGGATATCTTCCAACCAACAAGTTCTGGTTGTTTAAATCCCTGGAGATATAAATGGTCATGCATATTTTTAAAGTGATTCCACAGCAACTCATTTGTATTTTGAAGTTTGTGAAAGTGTATAAATCACTAAGGCCAATGGTGACAGGGATATGAGTTTACAAAGTGACTTCCTATCCTCATTTAACTAGTGAGCTGCATTTTTCTCCTTGCTGGAGTTCGAGAACGTTTAGCAAGGCATTCTCTTGTGAAGTGACCAGCCTGGCTACAGTAGAGACATAACTGAGTTTCTTGCTGGCGGGCTCTCTTGGCTGGGGTGACAGGCATTTGGACTCCTTGAAATGGCTTGAACTCATCCTTTGGTGGTGGAGCCATGGTGCTGAGATGGTTTGGGGAAGAGAACATTGGAACCTGACCTTCTGTCTGTAGGAGTTCCGGCCTGTCTTTGTACTTTTTGTCCAGTTGAATGCACTGGGTGATCAAATCAGGTAAATTGCCCATTATATCTGTGATTTCTTCATCATGGGTGGAATTAGCTTGTCTGTTTTGGAACTGGTTGCTCTGGCTGGTCTCACTGTAACTCAGATTTTGAGCAAGAGGTTGGAAAGTAGTATCCTGCAGAGAGCCGTCTTCACTGTCAACCTGAACATTCACAGGAGGGATAATTTCTTGCTTCATAGGCTCACCAAATGACTGCTTTAACTCAAGAATAAAATTTTCATATTGTTTCAATAGATGTCTCTGGTTGGACTCCGATACGATGTCACAATTTTGCATCTGCTGGGACAGGTAGTCAAAAAATTGCTTGACTCGGGCATTGTCTGCAGGATTGGAAATCTCGAGAGCTGTCAAATAGGTAGTGACCTGAGCAAGAAACCCTGTGACACTGATTGGCTCACCATGAAATTGAGGGAGATTGTCACCTGAGTAGGGTATAGACATCACTGGAGTACTCTGGGCAGGCACAACTTGCCCTCTTAATGTGGGGTTGTCCTCAGTTGGATGCTGCATTTGTGGCTGCAGAATCAGATTATCTTCTCTCAAAAAGGAGGTCTCCGTGTTTAAAGTAGGTGGTGATTCTGTGCACTTTTCCATTGTGTCTCCTGGAATTATGTAGAACTGAAAAGAAATTCAGTATCAGTATACAAGACAAAGGGACAGGAAGTGGTTTGGTTTGGGATCAGAAAAGACAGTGTCATGTACAAGCAGGAAACAGCTGTTCAATGTCGCTAAAGAATGTTGAGAGTTGAGCTGAAGAGATGCCACAAAAAATGTTATCTTCTACTCTTCACTGCTTCTTCATGGAGAATATCAATGTTCTACACATTCAGAAGACACATATCACCTTGGGACACATAGAAGAGAGGATTTGAATTAAGAAAATATATATCATAGACACTGTAATTTCTCTTCCCTATCTTTATAAGTATAGACATCAAACTTCATACTGATAATTTATTATAAAATGTCTTCTATAATCACTGTCAAAGGGTTTTAAATTACAGTTCAAAATAGTATTGGCGATGATCCAGACAAACAAAATTTATAATTTCACAGATTAAAAACAGAGACTCAGAGAAACAAAAATGTTTGTCCAAGGTCACTCAGCTAGTTAATATCAGATTTGGTATGCTCTTCATGGCAGCAATCCAAAATAGCATTTCCTCCAGCTATTCATAGTCTGCTTGAGAGTGATGATACATCATCCAAAACCTGATCTGGGGACAAGAGCATTGGATTTTACCAGAGAGATTTTTAGGAACACAAATACTAAGGCTCATCAAGAACCTAGTGAATAACTTTTCACACTTTTCCAAGATTTCCAATATGATTAGAATGTGTATTGTGGTTTGTGAATTACTGTGTTTAATTTGGAATAATCACTGACTGTATTTCTCACTCACTACTTTAAACCTGTATTGCTGCCAGATGTCTCAATGCAGTATTGTTAATCTGTTTCTTTCTACCATGTCCTTGTCTCAGGTCACATTTTTGTTGCTATGGAAATAATTAGAACATCACAAGTAAAATAAGCATGTAATATTGAAAACCTCACAAATAAGAACTGGATGTTCTTAAAGGTATGAAAATCAAAATGTTCAATACTCCTCCATGAACTGATAAAAAGAATAAAGTAACCAATAAAAATGAAAAATAATGCCCCAAGATATGGCATGCCAGTTAGTTTGAACTATTCTTTACTTCAGTTCCTTTCATAGCCCTTCCTTGTGTAGCATACACAATTGGCTCCCAGGGGGCACAAAAAAGTATATCAGTGAACATTTCAAACTATAAATCTCTCAATGGATAGGCCATAGACCTAGGGGGAAAAAGCAAATACCATTGTTATGCTGTAGGGACATAGCAACAAGATGACCCCTAATGACATTTTGCTATATGCATAGATCCGTGTCTTGATCAGCCATCATCAGAGAAGCTTCTTTCCACAGTAGATGGGAACTACTATAGACCCACAACTGGACAAAATACAGATACTGAGAGACCTTGAAATGTCATTCCTAAATGGGATGTCTTCATCAACCTCTCTTCCCCCAGGGTTCAGGAAGCTTTGTTGAAGAGGACACATGAAGATTCTGAGAGCAAGGGGCATGGTGGGCACCAAGGAATCCTTGTCTTCCAGACACAACAGGACTGATGAATTCATGAAATCATAGAGATTGTGGAACATCCACAGGGCCTGCACAAGTTGAAGCCAGACAGGGTCCCAGGGCTGGGAGGGGAAAGTGGATACCAGCTTCCAAACTTAACCAAGAAGCTATCTCCAATTGGCATGTACTTGCAAAAATATAATTAGTTTTCTTCAGTGGAGTCCTACTGGGCATATTAACCACACTTAAGGGTGGGCACATGCCCAGCAGTAGATGGCCAACAAAACTTATCTCAGTGCTATTTTTGTAGATTGTTTTGTCTCATATTTCTTTGTTTGGGTATTTTTTTTTGTCTTACAGATACTTTGCTTGCATATTTTGATTTCTCATTTTACATTTTCAGTGTGTGTATGCTTCTTGTGTATTTTTCCTTGTTTTCTCTCTGGTTTGTTTGTTTTTGTTTTCCTGTTTCCTTTAAAATGTGATCAGGATATATTATATAAAATACCTGTAATCCATGTGTTTGATGTACTTGGGAATACAAGGCAGGAGGGATAAGTGTTAGTAGCAAGACACAGGCTAGCCAGAGGTACAAAGTGAGATGTTATCAATAACAAGCAAATAAATAAGACTTGGTTTTATAGGCTTCACTGAACATTCCTACTCCCTAGACCAATTATTTCACTACAGTTGATCAATGAGTGTTTATTCATGAGGCCTATGCATATCACATGTCACCAAAGGAGAAAGATAGAGCCATGCCTTATTTCCTTTCCATATCTTAGTATTCTGGGGTCCTGTTGTACCTTCTAGACATCCCCTTTCTAGGTTCCCATCTGTAACTGCCATTCTTGCTGGTTTTCAACTAGTAATAAGTTAATAAGGTATTAGTAAGAGCTAGTGATCTGTTTGTCACAGGATGTTATTTTTTTATTCAATATGCATAGCAATCAACTTAGTTCTAATACCTAAAACACGTGGTTCAGTGGAACTGGGGTGGATTCCAAGAATCAGTACTTTACAACCTGGGCTGCTCTTGATTTGTGATGTAGATGGTTTCTGTGCAAAGAAAAGTGCCTCAAGGAATAAAGATGTATCAGTATCACAGAGAAGTAAGGAATGGAAGAAGGTATATTAGAAAGTAAGTAGGTGCACAAGTGATATGGCACAGTGGACACCCTATTCCACTTTTGCATAAAGTCCATAAACAGCTGACACCATCTTTTAGTTGGCAGTAGAATGCTGTAAACAACAGGCTCTGCCATAAGAAAGACCTGGGCCCAAATCTTGACAAAACAAAATGCTATATGGTCTTTACATGTTATTTAATCTCACTGAGAATCACTGTCCACACTTTAAAAACATTCCCCATATACTGTAAGCACAGCATCTCTCTCTCTCTCTCTCTCTCTCTCTCTCTCTCTCTCTCTCTCTCTCTCTCCACATACACACATACATATATATGTAAAATGCATATAAATATGTGTTCATGTATATGTGTATTTCATATTTATGTCCATGGATCACAGCATTTCTCCTATGGCATTGTTCATATTGAATGCATTCCAGGCAGTAATGTATAGCCTCTGGCCTAAGTTAACAGTGAATTTTAAATTATAGTTTGTCATTTGTCTTAGCAGTTCCATATATGGTTATCAAAGCATAATGCCTCTCATATTCAACAAAAATATTTTCATAGTGCAATAAATAAATCTATTCATAAAAGACATGCTTGAAACACCTACCTCATAGTGTTTTTGACGGGTAACTGAAATGAAATGAGATCTACACAGCTCCATGAAGATGTCAGAGGCCCCATAAATGTTAGCTATCATTTTTCTAGGTCCATAGTTGTGTCATCTGTGTTTTATAATTCAAGTTTCATCTTTTCAGATTTTCAAAAAGTAATACTGTTTATTATATAACATTTCCTACAGTATCTAGGGAAACATCCCATAATTAAGCCATTAAAATTTCAGCAGGAAAAATGTCTGAATATTCATACTGAATTGGATATAGATGAAATTCATGTCAAATCAGGTCAAGTTTTGTTAGCAACTGGGTTTTAGCAACAAATTAATGAAAAAGTGACTTCCATCTCAAAAACCTCTTTGATTTCAGAATTGAAATAAGAAAGGATTGTGGCCCTCCAGTAAACTCTTCTTTTTAAGTTGGAAGAGTATGATTATAACTTTTATTTTATGTCTTTGCCCTTCGCTTCTACCCTCACCAATCTCATATCTGTGTGAGTGCTCTTGCTTCTATACAGAATTATGTATTCAAGGTGGCTTAACATTTAATTTTCCTAATTATGCATCAGGGATGAAACACTTGGTAAAATGAAAAGCATTAGCTCCCATGCAAATCATACAATGCCACCGTTGTCGGTGTCAACGACTCATCCCCTCAGAGGAAATCTACTCAGTCATTTTAGTCAGGAAATTACTTTTTCCTGAGATCACTGACCTTCTATTGGATTGCCCATAGAAGATGCTATTGCATAGACTGCCAGTCTGAAAGGTCTCTCTTTAAAGAGCCAAAGCAGAAAGAAAGCAGCAATCTCAAATGCATATGTTTTGGAGCATGAGACTAGTGTGGCTGGACCAGATGCAATACAAAACTTCATAGATATAATTTTTTTCTTAATATTAACATGTTTCATCTATGACAACTATTAAAACCATTAGTTTTAGTAAATTGTTGTAAGCTATTTTGTTTATATTCACTTGGCTCAAAATTATAGTTAATAATTTCTCTGGACATTAAATTGCTTTCTAAAATCCTTTTGAGACCACATTTCAAGAAATCCCTTGCTATATATAAGATCTAGATTGTCCCTCAAAAGAACATGGGTTGAGGGTTTGTTTTCCAGCTTGGCTCAAGTAGAGGGTGGTGGGACCCTTAAGATGTAGGGCTTAAGGCCCAGGTTACCAATGCAAGTTTTCAAGGGGATACTGGGTTCAAGGTCCATTCTTTATTATTCTGTTTTCATGTCCTGGCCTATCTTACTATTGAGGCATTTGTACAGGCTTGCCTTTGGAGTTCTGACAGGATATGCAGCCAGCTCTTGCCAGTAAGAGCATCACCTGTGTCTATTCACTATGTTCCCATCGTTCTTTCTTTCATTCCCTCTCTCCCTGTCTCAGTCTGACTCTCTCTCTCTCTCTCTTTGCATCTTTTTCTTCTCTCCTGCTGCTCCTGTCTGCAGAGGCCAGTCTCCCCCTTCCACTTTCCTTGTTTTTGATCTTTTCCTCTAATAAAAACCCCTGTGCTTGAACTCTGTCACATGGTATGTTTTTTCTCATGTGTTGCTTTTTCAAATTATAACATATTAAAATGTGCTTCTACCCTGCCAAAAGTTCTGAGCAACAGGGCCAACTTCAGATCAAAACTTCCAAACCAGTGAGCCAAGAAATAATCTTTTTTTTCCTTAACCTGATTGGGTCTAGTAACACAAAGCTGACTATCACAGACCAGCAGTGCTCTATTTCTTATTAGAAAACTGTGTGACATTACACCATCGTATTTTTAAGCTATTCTTTGATCTGAGTTCATGCAGTCATCCAGAAAAGCTATAATTCTCTCTTGAGCTTCAAAACTTCTATGGAAATCTGTGGTCACAGCTGCTAAATTGAGGCATTGATCCCTCTCATAAGCACGAGCAGAGGAGTATAGTGTTTGGAGCTTGTATTTACTTCTTCTACCATTCAGAAGAATAAGCTTGAAGAAGACTTTTTT